ACTAGACAATGCTTGCCTTTTGAGTGGATTGTAGTGCAGTGGGATAATTTCATATTTTAATGCAGTTTTTGTTGTCTTAAGTCTCTTCTTTTGTGACTTTCTTTGGTTGACTTTTTTCCTCATACCACTTCTGGAGTCCATATCTGTCCTTTAAAAATATGGCATTATTGAGATGTATTTCATGCACTGTGCAGTTTACCCATTAAAGTAGAGAGATTAAAGTTTTCTGAAGATGGTCTTAGACCTGTGGGTAGCACTTCTCTTCTGGTTTTAGAATGTTTGTTTCCCTTAGAGAAAACCCCTGGCTCTCCCCACACACTGTGACCCCTGCAGCTGTTTCTCCTGCTTTCTTTTCCTTTTTTTGTGTGGGGGAGGGTGGGATGTAGAAATATTTATTAAAATTATAGCTACAAAACACAAAAATATAAAGACTAATGCACGACTTTATAAAATGAAGAACATGAAACAGAATGCTCACGACGCCGAGCTGCTTTCCTTACTGGGGGCGCGTGGCGCTCCCCTCCCTGGGTGTGAGGCCCCCTGGCTCGTCCTTGCGGTGCCTGGCCACGCTCCTTCCAAGTCCTCAGGGTCCTGTGGGCGGAAGTGGGGTGTTCCACTTGCTGGCCTGGCGGATGTATCTGCACACACTAGCCTGGAGTGTCTCCATTTCTATTTTCTTGGGCCCATCTGGGGAGGGCCGCCTTAGCGCACCCTGGCAGCTGTCTTCTTTCCTTTGGGTGCTGCGCATCTGGGGGGTGTGAAGTGGTTTCTCACCGTAGTGTGTCCAGGAGTGTTTCCCTGGTCACAAAGATACGAATATCTTTACGTGTGCTTTAGTAGTCTCTTTGTGTATCTTCTTTGCAGAAAGTTTATTGCAACTCTGTATCCATTTTAAATTAGGTTGCATTTTTCTTGAGTTGTAAGAGTTCTTGATACAATTAGATCAAAGTCTTTATCAAGCACATGATTTGAAAAACTTTTCTCCCATTTTGTGGGTTCTCTTTTTGCTGGATAAAGTTTCATTTGCAGCAACATTTAAAATTTCAATGAATTAAGTAGCTGTGTCTTCCTTTGTTGTTTAGGCTTTTAGTATTTCATAAACTGTTGCCTAATTACCCAAGGTTCTGGACATTGATTCCTTTCTTCTGCAAGTGGGTAGTTTGAGACGCTGTCATTTCCTGACTCACTTGGATTGGTGCTCGCGGCGTAAGGGCCCGCCCTCGGGCGCGCCTGGCTGCCGCCGCCTGCCCCTGCGCTGCGGCTGCGCAGTCCCGTCGTCTGGTGCGGGATCGGAGCTTTCGGGCGGGGCAGTGATGCCAGGCGCACAGGGCAGAGGGCAGCTGTTTCAGCTCTCTTTACCCACAAATTGGATCCCTTCTGATTGTTGTATGCACTTAGTGCTACTTTTGTTAGTGTAGAAGGAAAGTAAAGAACTTTTAGTGGTTCTTGGGTGAGTCTGTTGGTAGTCGGGTCTTTTCTGCTTAGCCCCTGTGTGCTTTGCCCTCGATCTGAAAGGACGGTTTCCGTGGAAGACTTGTGGGTGTCAGGTGTTCGCTCCTAGCGTTTGGGACAGTGGCCCGCTGTGCCCTGTGCACTCGCCTTTCCTTGGCCTCGCTTCTCGTTAAAGCTCTTGTGCAGTTCCACTAAGATAAGCTTTAATCGAGCTCTGCCGTGGTGTCCTAGTGCAACTGTAAACTTTTTATTGCAAATAATATACCCGTGCTGCCTGCCAGTGGCTGTGTTTCCTACAGTCTAAAGAGAATCTTTAGTTGAATTAGCTTTGAATTATTTTAGGGGGGTTTCCTTTTTCTTTTTTGGCTGGCTTGGGGTGACTTAAGGGCGTGTTTGGTAAGGCACGAGGATCTGGGGATCGAACCGCGGTATCCTGCATTTGCGTTAGCAGGCACTTAAACAACTGAGCTAACCGGCAGGCCCCCTCTGGGAATTATTTCATATGGCTTCTTTTCTGCCAGGTTGGTTTAGAATACTTAAAAAATATTTACATAACATATAGGAAATACTTTGAAATATTCATCTGTTAACAAAGGAGGGGTTTATGTGTGAGAGGAGTTTTCCTATATGATATGCTGTAGTTAATGGTGTTAGCAGGCATGGGAGAAAAGTGTCATAAAACGTAATTGTTGTCTTTGTGGTTAATGGTAATATTTTTATTTAAAAAGTAAAATATTTGTCATACTATTTCATATTGACTAATATATTAAGTTGCTATGTTTTTTCTTTTAATTTAATTTAATTTTTTTGTGTGGTCTGCTAAACCCACTCTTGGGTGGGTCTGGTGTGGCATGTGGTGCCCGGGATCGAATCGTGGTCCCTGCACTTGCCTAAGCTTGCCTGAGCAGGCACTTTAGTCCACTGAGCTATTTCACCAGCCCCAAGTTGCTGTGTTTTAAGTTAGTATGTTTTGAAACAGAGTCATATATTTTCCTGACTTTTTGAAGACAAGAGGGTGTAGTATTCTTTGTGTTTGATTTGTTGTTGTTGTTGTTGTTGTTGTTTTACTATAGGAAGGATAAAGCAGAAGAGGGATGGAGAGAGAGGAAGGGAGAGAGGGAGGAAATGAGAGGGGGGATTTTAAGAGTGAGACAAGGTTGGGATTTTGTTGGGAATTCAGAAACAGGTTATCTTAATCTGTTTCCATATGAAGTCACAGCGATGAACATTTCCATCTTGTCTGAAACTGTGAGCTCCTCTTTCCTTGGAAGGTGCTAAACTCTGTTTTGTTTTTTACCTCAGATTTATTGGTACATTTTAGATTTACACAACAATCACATTCATCATAGAGAATTTGTACTTGCACATGATGATAAGCTGGGCTTTTTCTCCATTCCCCTACTTTCCCTCAGACCCCTCCTCCCCTCCCCATTTACAAAAGCCTTGTTGCCGTATTTTCTTTTCTCCCCTTTAACTTCTTCCCCCTTCCCCTCGTCCCTTACTCATTTTCCTCCCCACCTGAGCATTTTGTCGTGTTTCACAATGTCTGATACACATTTTGGTTCTTATTTACCCTGTTTCTCATAGCAGAGAGACAGTGTGGTGTCATTTGTGTGTCTGATTTATGTTACGTGAGAGCCCCAGGTGCACCCGTTTACCTAGGGAGTCTCGAGCTTATCCTTCTTTGCTGAACAGGATACTCCATTATATAAAAACCACATTATCTTTATCCATTCAGCGGTTGGTGGACATTTGGGCTGTTTCCGAGATTTAGCTCTTACAAACTGAGCTACTGGAAACGTGGGTGGGCGTATATCACTGTGGTAGGATGCTTTAATTCTTTTAAGTGCTTCTCACCAAACAAAAGCAAGGCTCTTTGCTCAGCAGTGCATTTGAAGAGTCGTGCATCTCTCCCCTTCACCTGTCAGGAACAGCCTGACAGCCTCTCACGGCCTTACCCCACATGGAGAGAAGCAGTCTCTGTCTTCTTCCTCGGGCGCTGCTTGTCCTGGCCTCCTGCTGGATGGCTCACTGTGTGCGCCAGCAGACACATCGTGTGCGGCAAGCCCTGTCTCCGCGGCATTTCTGGGAGGGGCGAGGACCGAGATTATTTAGCTAAGCTTCCGAGGATGAGCCCTAAGTCCCAGGTGAGGATGCTTACGTCCCGTCTCCCAGCTCTGGAGGAGAATGCCCTCTGACGAAAGGACATGGCCCCTGCTGCACTCAGAGTCTAGAGCAGTGGCTGCACACAGACTGCAGCGGGCTGTTGGTGCCATTGAAAGGTTCACCATCGCGGGCCCAGACCTTGGCTCTGCGTCTGCCTTTGTGGAAAGCAGGTGACTTTGCTGTTGCTTGTGCGGTGGGAATTGGCAGCACTGTGCGGAGCTCTCTTCCTTTGCGCTGGCTGCTTCTGAGTGTTTGGGTTTTCAGGGTATGTTGGGGATTCAAGGTCTGGCATCCATTTGGGAGTTAGGGGTTGCTGTGTGACAGTTTTCCTAGCAGTAGGGCGGCTCTGCAGAGCCTGACGGGAAGTCTTGGGTCGAGTGAATGTGCACTGTGGCTCATGTCCATGCCCTTTCATCAGGGGGCTTTTCCCCGCTCATTACCTGTGGGGTGTTTCTGTGCAGAGACTAATTGGATTTTCAGTTTCGAATTAATCCCACTTCCTATCCTTCTGGATCCACATATGACATACTGATGTGTCTTCTTCCATTACTTTATTTCTTCAACATAAGCAACACGGGAACATATTGTGGCTTGAGAGCCGAGCAACATGAAAGCGTAGGGGAAGCCCTCTGTCTCTGCAGAGGGTCCAGCAGAGCGCTTTCTGGTTATTCCCCTCACCCAGGAGCTCCTGTGTCCTTGTGTTTGGGACTGGAATCTGGGTCCGGGGAGGTGCTACGAGCATCAGATTTGGCCTGGACTGCGCAGTAGGGAGAGACAGAGAACACCTTCTGATGGAGCTGTGCTGGAGACTTCAAGGCTGGGTCGTAATAAGAGCCCTTGACAGGGAGGTGGGCTTCTGTTCTTTTACAGACACAGCAGGGACCAAATGGATATATACTTGTTGCCCAGTTGTTTTGTCCTCCAGGGTACCCTATTATGAGAAGGACCCCCCCCCCCACTGGCTCAGGCTGCCTTAAAGGCAGGTCTGGTAATGCAGGTGGAGGTGGGGATTGAACATGCGGAATCCTGCACCCGACTCCATTTGCATGAGCAGGTACTTAAACAACTGAGCTAATGGGCAAGCCCCCAAATCTTGTTTTTCTTTGGTTTTTTGGTGGTACCAGGAACCAAACTCAGGATCTTGCACTTGCCAGGCAAGCACTTATTCCACTGAGCTATCTCCAGTGATACATTTAGAAAGTATCATTGGAGAGCAGATTTGACTTCTTTCTGATGAACTGGAAGGGGCAGTACTGCTGCCTTGTTCCTGAGGAGTGCCTCGAAGAGATGGGTGCCTGGAGCTGCTCTACTCTTCTGGCCTTGCACCTCCCCACAGGATCTTTTTCCTCTGTCACTGATGTAGCAGTCTGTTCTCTTTACAGATCACTCAACGTCCAGCGGCACATTGTCATTTAAGCCCAGTCGCTCGCTTGTCACCCTGCCCACTGCCCATGTGATGCCGTCCAGCTCCAAGCACAGGGACTCCCCGGCGTCTGATGGCTCCAGGTGGAGTGCGGGCTTCCTGCAGGCACTGGGCGACCGTGGTGGTGGTGAGCGGGACTCTTGTCTGGACATGAAGAGCTCCCAGCCCCTCCGGAAGTGGTCGTCTCTCTCCAGACTCCCTGCCCCTGAGGGCTGTGGCCTGCCTGGCACCGTGCACTTGGAGCAGTGGGGGACCAGCCTGGAGAAGCCCGGGCGGGGCAAGGCCTTGGCGTCACAGTGGAGGACGGCGGGTCCCAGCTGCCTGCATGACGGCGTGGAGGCACTCGGGCTGGAGGACAAAGAGAGTGGCAGCCGGCGGACGTCAGCACTGGACTGCAAGTACAAGTTTGAGAGCTGCAGCCCCAAGGAGGACTTCAAAGCTGCCTCCTCTGCCCTCCGGAGGCAGCTCCTGGACATGACCTACAGTGCCTTACCTGAGAGCAAGCCCCTCACGGCTGGTCCAGACACCTTCAGGCCACCCGAGTATTTAATGCTGGGCCAGCAGTCAGTGGGCGGAGTGCCCATCCAGCCCTCGGTGCGGACTGAGATGTGGCTCACGGAGCAGTTGCGGACAAACCCTCTGGAAGGCAGGACTTCAGAGGATGCCTACAGCCTGGCTCCTTGGCTGCAGCAGCCAGGGGAGGAGCTCCAGCTGCGTGGTGAGGCCCCGCCGCTGCAGGTAAGGCTCTGGCTGCCCGTCCCTCGTGGGGGGCGTGGGGCACAGTGGCAGTGGCACTCAGCCGCGCCGACCACGTTGGGTCCTGATGCTTCCCTTCGCTGCTGCACGGCAGTAGGCGGAAGTGTAAGTGACCTGACAATGTAAAACTTTGCGTGATCTTTACTTTCTCATTCGTTAGAGGGGCATAAACAGAGGAACAATTTAATCTAAAGAAACTGGAAGCAGAAACAGATTCCCTGTGGAGTGATGGAAGCAAAATGAGCGTGCGAGTGTCGGGCCCTGGGTGGGCTTTCCTCGGCTTCGGGGCCCAGCGGGGCTCTGTGGGCCTCACTTGCAGCTTGAAGCTAAGAAGGAGAGGCTAAGGTCATTTGAGAAGTGTTGGACGTGGTTGTGGTGTGCCGAGTTTATAAAGGAGAGAAGCCTATTTTTCAAAACGTCAAGATTTTGTTCGTTAGTGTCAGGTCTCTATTACAGTGCGGCGTTAAAGATAGTCCCTTAATGAATCCAGCGAACACATGTAAGTATGTGCGTTTCCCCACCTGAATGCTTCTATTTCAAGGTAATTTCTACCGCTTATTTTAATTGGGAAACCAATTCCTAATATAAATCCTATCATCGATTTTTTTGTTATCAACCTTTCTGATACATTTACTCTATCAAAATTAGCAAACTTGGGCCAGCCAGATAGTTTAGTGGATTAAACTCCCGGCACCTGCATCTGCCTATGTAGAATGCTTTAATCTGCTGAGCTGGCTGGCTGGCCCAGGATTCTCTCTTCTAAAAGCTGTCCTTGTTGACTTTGAAATATTGACTTCCTTGTAGTCTAATTTTTATGAAGAGATGAGTCAAGGTGTTACCATTATAATAATTTCAATGTCTTTCACGGAGGTAATCTCTTACATAAAGAATAGGATAAAAACAATGGGGGCTTCGTTTTTGTGTAACATAAAATGTGAATGAAAGAATTTTCTAATTTGGAAGTGTTTGACATGGTATGTCTTGAAAAGAACCAGTTTTGTTTTTATTCTTCATATTTGCATTGTATTTTATCTTAATCTATGTGCTAATTACACTGTATGTAGCGTATGATGCTATGACACACTCATTACGTTTCTATACTTTTTATGCATATTTTAATAAAATTAGTAACATGCATGATTTTTCATCTATCAACTTTTCTACATAATTTGACACATAATTTCTAAGCACTTTATAGTTCTGAGCATATGAGCAAATCTTTTTGGGGGGTTATAATTCCACTTTAAAAGACTCAAAAATAATTAAAGAGTAGCTCATTCAATATTCTATGTAGGTCTGCCCCCTTGTGTTTGAAATAGAAGATCTTAGCTATGTTTCATTAGGGGCGAGCCCCCCGTGGCAGTTCATAATCAGCACCTTCGTAGCCGACAGTAAGCATGTGTGTATTGCGGAACAGCGCTGGAGACTCTTTTGGAGGCTTCTGTGATGTGAGCGCCCACGGCGGCACGCGTGGCACGGGTCACCTGTGCACCTGTTACAGAGCAGCCTCCTGAGTTCAGGAGCTGAATTCCTTGTAGTGTGGGTGATCCTGATTATTTGCATTGAGCAAATGTACAATTTTAGATTGTAAAAGGCAGCATAAAGCATTCAGATTCCCTTGCAGTGCCCTATAAGTTTAGAGTTGACTCCATAATAGAAAGTATTTGAACATTTAGTAAATTTTTAAAATATATTATTTTTCCTATAGCTTCATCTTAATACATCACAATAAACAGTGATTTTCACTTAAAAATAGGCTCCTGTACATTTTAATCTGAGCTGTAGTACCCTTAAATTCTTACAGTGTTAAGATTTTAATTTCTGTCAAAGGCAGGACGAAAAATCAAATTATTGTTTCCATTTACTCAGAAAAAGCTAACATCGCAGTTGGTAGCTGTAGCGAAAGGGTGGGACGGTTCGGATGGTTCAGCTTGGGTAGCCTCACGGAGCTACAGACCAGTGGGCAGAGCGCTGTCTGCGGCTCGTGGCCCCGGCTGGCACGGGCGCTCTGCCCTGGGCAGCGCTGCCACAGGCAAGGCCCGTCCCCTGTGCTCCTCAGGCATGTGAGCAGAAGCTTCCCTTCATGCCTGCTGGCTGGGCGAGTAAGGGTGCAGGCGGCACCTCGTGGGTGGTACAGGGAGCAGCCTGCTCAGGGGCCACGGCCACGCCGCTGCCTGGTGGTGGTTCTGACCTCCACAGGGTAGCCACCGCGGTGCTCGTGCTGATCCTGAGAGCCTGCCGAGCGGCTGTGTGGCCTGGGTTGGATGTGACAGTCTAGGCGCAAACTGAACTTGAATCAGCGTGTTTACTAAATGTGGGTGAATGTATGTTCACACCAGTTTTTACTTTTGTGGCTTTATTAGTTAAAAGATGCTTCTAAAATGATCAGAGGAGTGACTGAACATGTATTCATCAAGAAAGCAGTTACAGGTTAGCATCGCTGGATTTACTAGCTAGCTCAGTGGGGGCTACCAAGTGGGTATGTATTATGTGGTTGATAGAGTAAGGAAAATAGCCATATCCTACAGTAGGAGGACAAAAGCTGATTTTTAAAACAATAAGAATTTAAATTTTACTTTTGTAATGCTTGAAATAGTATATTTTCTGTCACTGGAAATCTTTTATTCTTTTCTCCCTCACTAGTCTCAGGTTGGAATCGAAAAGGACCTGTACAATCCTTGGGAGGTCTGAAGCTTTCCTGATGCAGTGTGACAGGCGAGGTGACCCACCATCACAGTGCAGGTTTAGTTCTCTTCCGGTAGTGTTAGTAGTTATGGTAACCACACTCGTACTGATAGTTATGGTAACCAGTTCTGCTGTTGACAGTGTCTCAGAATAGAGTCATGATTAACTTACGTGTACTAGAATTCCATTTTTCAAAACAATTAGCGGAATTTTATTTACATAAGAACACGTTCCTTTATTTGATTTTCATAAACTTCAAAATGTTAATTTGGTACAGGAAAAGGCTGTAACTTGTGGTGTGGAAGCGAGGTCCTGACGAGGTTCCCAGTCAGTACCTACAGGTGCGGCAGCCCTCTGCTGTGCTCAGTGGCGTTTCCTCATGCAGTGGTGGCAAAGCATTTGGCGGTACAGACAGCCTGCGTGGCCCGCGTGCCACAGGTTCACCACCACTGCTTGGGGAAGACTTGCACCTACGTAGTAACTATCAGAGGTACCGACAGTGCGTTCTGGATTGTGTGTTGGCCCGAGAGTGGGGTTGATTCGCTGCAGCTAGTGACCTTGGTCGCCATGTGTTTCAAAATTACACTCCAGCGCCATCCTCAGACAGGACTCAGGAAACTGCCGGCTACTGAAAGTGGTCTTCTGGGGCGTCACACGCTGTGCCGCAGTCATTAGGGCGCGAAGGCTGGAAGTGTTTCCGGGAACGCAGGTGCGGCTGGGCTCCAGAGGGCTGGAGGGACAGACAGGACAGGACGAGATGGTGCGCGCAGCCCCGGCCCCTCCGCGGGGCCTGCGGGACTCAGAGCAGCATCACGATGATGCAGATGAGCAGCAGGCAGATGAGGATGAGGCAGAAGTTGATGAAGAGGTTCTGGAGGTTCTGGCGCGCCTGCTGGGGCATCTCGATGGTCGAGGCCCTCCTGATGGCTGAGCGGGTCAGGTACTGCACCTTCTCCATGGTGCAGTGGCTGGCGGCACCTGCGGATGGCGCCTCTGCAGAGCGCCTGGAACGAGAGGGTCGTGGGGTCAGGGTCTGCGTGCCCCGAGCTGCCTGCGCACGCTGTGGGTTGCCATCAGCCCTGCCCCCTTCTACCACGTTCCTGCTGGCGCAGGGACTTCAGGACCTGCCTTCTCCCCACCTGGCGCCAGCAGTGTCCAGTTAGGGTGCAGCCTGTTTTGTGGTTTCTGTCTGCGTGCTGGAGAGCTCCAGAGCTAGTCTCATAAAAGAATGCAAACAATGAATTATTTCCTCAGTCTTTAGTCAACATAAATTTACTGTTTTTAACTAGGCATTGTAGCAAATGCCTGTAATCCTAGCAGCTGGGAGGCTGAGGCAGGAGGATCCTGAGTTTAAGACTAGCCTGAGCTGCATGGTGAATTCCTGCTTCTCTCACCCAAAAAACAAAACACCGTAAACCAGAGTAGCTGAGAGAAGCCAAGCAGTTAAGTGAGAGACAGGTTCCAGGCGCTGCTGTCCGCACTTGATACAGTGACTTGCTTTTCATGCTGAAGACTGTCAGACCGCATCGTCACCTGGCCACCCACCCTGGACCGCTCTGCTGACAGAGGGCTGTGCTCAGCACCACACTGCGGCAGCTCCTGCCTTCTTTCTGGGCTCACAGCCTGCAGCTGCTTGTGGGGCTTGAGCCCTGCTAATTAATAACCAAAACAAAGATATATGTGATAGAAAACGTACTGGTGAAAACCTGACTTTCAGGCTGGAGATAGAGCTCAGCTGCGCAGCGTCTGCCGAGCAAGCGCAAGGTCCAGAGTTTGATTCCTGGTACTAACAAAGGAGAAAGAAAACCTGACTGTTCAACTTAGTGGCTATTACTATTTGGAGATATTTTGTTTTCAATCAGAATATTTCTGTTTCAGTCCAGTGTGGTGGTGCGTACCCGTAATCCCAGCACTGGAGAGGCCGAGGCAGGAGGATCACCTCAAGTTCCAGGCCAGCCTGAGCTACATGGTGAGTTCAAGGCCAGCCGGAACTGCATAGTGAGAGTCTGTCTCAAAACATAAATCCGAACCAAAACTAAGAAATATTTGAAATAAATATTAAATGTGGAGCTTAAAAAGCCCTGTAATCCCTGCTCAGAGATACGCCTGGCAGGCAGGGTGACCCCAGGAGTGTGGCTGCCCAGCCGCGGGTTCTCGCTTGCTCCACATGCCCACGACACCCATGGCGGCCTGTGGGCCCCACCTGAGAGAAGCAAGTGCTGAGACAGTGGTGGCCAGGGGTCAGTGTCCTGGCCCTTGGGTTCTGGCCTTTGTGTCCCCAGGGAGACCTGTGGCTCCTTCAGGGCAATGTGATCAAACCAGTGCACCTAAATAAGAAATTTTTGTGACCAAAGATTTCCAAAAAGTTAGTGACCCCAGGGTTGTCACACTCGCTGCATCCTCAGCCCCTTTTTAATTGGGTGGACAACATCTTGCTAAATTGTCCAGGCTGGGTTTGAATTTGCGGTCCTCCTGCCCGCCTCCCGGAGTGCTGGGACTGTAGGTGTGCCACCGCCCCTGACTGAGTCTAGGCTGTGTATCATGACTCCGAAGTCGACTCCGTACAGACTATCCCAGCCTTAAAGGTCTGCCTTGGAGAGAATCCTTCGACAACAGCAGGGAGAGATTTTGCCTTCTGAAATTGGCTCGTGGCTGTTGCTTTTGGTATAGGTTTCATTTTTATTCAATATTTTACCCGTTGAAATGATTTAAATTGTTTACTTGGGTTAAAGTAGTATGTTAACTCTACGGGTGCTGGCCTTAGGGTTGCCTATCCCAAGCCGGTGTGGGGAGGGGATTTGGGAGAAGTCTTCAAAGCAGATGCCGGCTGCCCAAGCTGACACCCTTGTGGCCGCCGCCGGGTGGGGGGGGGGGGGGGGCTGCGGCTCTGCGGGTCTTAGGGTGCAGTTCCCGGCGCGGGCGCCAGGGGGCCTCAGTCGCCCGGGCCTGGGCCCGCCCGGTCCCAGCCCGTTGGGTGTTGGTCTGGTAATGCGGACTTGGGAATCCCGAGTCTTTGCAAATGCCAGAGAAATACCATTTTACCAGAGGCAAGGCCTTCTTTCTTAATTGTTTTACAATATAGGTTAGAAATACATATTTATTTCAGTTTTCAGATGATTGAAGCGTTACAGTCAATGAATTCAGTAAGAGAAAAAAGCCACAGGAGAAGGAACTGCAGGGAGTACGAAGTGTGAATTCACTGCTGAGAACCAGAAGAGGGCCACAGCAACCTGTGTGGGGCTTTTCTTTAAAGTCACTATAATCACTTTTCTCACTGTGGCCTAGAAGAATGTTTTCTCTCCGGCTTCATGGAGATGTAGATTGAATATAAGCAAATAAAAAGTAATGTTCCTTTTTTGGAGACTGACTTAGGGAAGGGCGGACGGTGATGTCCCCGGAAGTGTGAGGGAACGTGATGCGTGAGAAGGTGGGCATTTCTCGCGTGCTGGCGCGCACTTGAGGACTGAGCCCTGCAGACACGTGCGCCTCGCCCGCTGGCGTCCGGCGTCCTTCCGGGCGGGCGGCGGGCGACCTGGGCCTGCGTGCTGTGGGCGGCCGAGTTGGCGGCGGTGGCGTGCGTGGGCAGAGGGACTGCTGCTCTGGTAGGGAAGGGTCAGAGGTGGAGGCTGGGAGTTAGCCTGGCTGACCCTGCACTTGCCACTGCGCTGTCTCCCCAGCCCCCACGCCTGGGTTTATAGAAAGTTTCGGGAGGGGCCAGGGAGATAGCTCAGTGCAAGGTCCTGAGTTCAATCCCCGGTACTCGAAAAAAAGAAAAAAAGAAAGAAAGAAAGTTTTGGGGAGAAATTACCTGAATCTTAGGTGTCAAGCCTAAATGGGTTGCAGATAGATTTTTATCCAAGAAACAAGTTAAATAATAGGAAACTTATTTGATTATGGCATGTTGTTTAAAAATCGTCTCATGGTTATTTTGAGCTTTTCTTACTTGGGTTTATTGGTTAGTAATTATGAACCTCTGTAGCTTTCTTAGATCCCTAGTTTTGAAAATACCATTTAATAAAAAAATTCTATATGTATAAATTAATTACAAATGAAGTCACATGGTTTTAAATGATTAGAAGTGTATATCCCCTACATCTGCCTCAAGGAGCGCCACCAGCAGCACTGTGCTGCTGGCCTGCTTGCTGCCTTGGAGTCTCTGCTGCGAGCCACATGGTCACGTACGGGAGGTGCAGAACCCAGCCATGGACCCGACCTGCCAGGCCCCACCCGTAGCCCTGTGTCCCTGAGCACCTGCCCTGTGTGTGCTTCCTGGGAGAGTGCAGAGGGGTGAAGGAGGTCCTGGGCGCAGAAGGTCCTTAGAAGATTGTTCTTCAGGAGGAAAGACAGCATTGTAATTGACTCTTGGTCTAGAACTGATAATAGCCGTACTAATTGACAGAGGCCTACACTTCAATTTTTAATTGTATAGTTTCATACTACATGATCGATACGTAGTACACTTAATACATGTTAAATACACTGAAATATTTTCTTAAGCTACTTTATATAAATATTCTATCTCTGATCAGTGAGATTATGAAACTGTGTATTCAGATATAGCCCAGAGGCATTTGCTCCCTGTCTACTAAATACTGTGAGAGCGACTTGCTGTAAGTTGTAGGACGTGAGAATGGTGCAAATACCCTAATCGCCTGACCTGTTGTTAGAACTTAGGGTTTCACAGTTAGGGGTCTTTCACACTTTTCTCATCCGATTTTACCCAGCTGTATATCTAGCACAAAGAACCTAAGTGTTGTGAGTCAGAGACACACTGGTGTGGATGTTGTGTCTGCTGTGAGGCTGTTGTAGCAACAGCAGGGTGATCCATCATCTCTGTTTTGCTGGACACACGTTCAGCTGAAGGTGACAGCGGTGGCAAAGCTTGGACTCCCTGGGCACAGCCTGCGCTATGGAGCCGTCTGTCATGGGACCCTGGTCACTGCAGGAGCAGGTGGGGCTTGGCATTTAGAGAAGAGCACAGGAGTGTGCACAGGAAACACCTGCACAGACCGGCTTCTGTGTACCGAAGGAAGGTATTTCCTGAGAGACCCGGAGAGCAGGTAGAGCTGCTCAGCCTCGGTGGGGCACTGACTTAGAGACATGTCTTTTGAATGTCTTGCGGAGGCCCGCTGTGGGATTGCAGGTCCTGTTTGTCAGAGCAGTGAATTCCATTTGACTTAGGAACTGGGAATTTTAGAAGTGAATGTATTTTTGTGTATATGTATTATGAAAATGAAATAAAATGTATGTAGCTTTCTCTCCCTTGAGAGAGATTTGAAAATGTTTCATTTATTAAATTGAGGATTGCAACACAGAGTAGATTTCAGACAGAAGCCATGAAGTTTACCGTGGCATGCCCCTTCCTGGGCATTGCGTTTTCTTTCCTCTTTTTCCCCCCTTTTGGACAAGAACTTGACAAAAGAATATTTATTAGTAGGTAGTTTGTTTTTCAAAATGTTGGATTATTCTATGACTTGACTTCTGAATATATTTGCAACAAGTTTACTAATATTTTCAAACCATTCTTTATGATGTAGTATTAAATTTATATAAGATATTAATTATTAAAAGCATAGAACTTTTAGAAGTTGACTAGATTTTAGAGCAAAAATCTTCTAAACATTTTAAAGCAGCTTATATTTTCTATCCGAGACAGTCTGAGTGACATCATTGCAAGGGATGCAGTGTAACCCTGGGCGAAGCCGTGAGGGCCAAGGCTGCTCCCCGCTGTCCAGACGTCACAAATAAAGCCACTGATTGTGCGTGGTAAGTTAAGCCACCGCTACACCAAAGATGGCAACATAATTGGAAGATTTTTTTTAATTGTCATAAATCCACATTTGAAAAGCAAAATAAAAGTGAAACGTAAATTAACAGTCCCATGACCAGGATAAAACTGGCTGGGAGCCTCTCCAAAGTCATGCCACTGAGTGCCCAAGCATTTATGTTCAAGTTGTTTTGTCTGAGCAGAGATTTTATCTGACTGCAAACCTAAATTTAGAAAATACAATTAAGTCTTTTTCACAGCTCACTAAGTTTGAATTACAGAAAGCCGCATCAGAGCATAGTGCAGCCCGAGCCTTACCTTCCCTGTGATGCTGAGTGGGGGGCCGGCTGTACAAGGCCTGCGTGCTCGGCCAGGAGGCTCCGGCTGTCTCCCAGCTTGTGAGCTGCTGTGGGAGGTGGAGGAGTAAAGTGTCTCCGGGAGGTTGCAGGGTGTCACCCTGGTCTGGAGCCATGATTGGCCAGCCACGCTCACGCTCCAAATGCAGTTTGGGTTATCTTTCTTTAGGTTGGAGAGGTAATGGACACTCTGTGCCTCTTTCTTGTTTTCAGTTTTAGAAAGTATACTGCAGATAAATGGAAAAAATCCTTGTGTGGTAGAAAGCATTTCTTGAAGGTTCGTGTATTTCAGACTTAGAGTTAGTTTTGTTTATTGGAGAAGGTGTTGAAGGCCGCCAAAGTGGCTGTCACAGGAGTTTAGCAGTGAGAATAGTAATGTACAGCTGTTAGGGAAGGCGCTTTGGTGAGTGCTGCTGCTGTTTCGGTCCTCCAGCTTCGTAATGCTGCAAGACAGCAAGTAAACATGGCCACAAAATCAGAGTTCATGCTTTCCTGCCTCGTTCTGCTCCTGCGCCTATTTGTGTGTAGGTGGAGGAGCTGTGTGTGAGAAAGTCGGGTTGGTACCTGCTTTTGGTTGAGAAATAAAAGCTTTGTCTTATAATAAGCTAGTATTTAGTTCCTGTTTTCTTTAGGAGTTTAATAATACACTTATAAGTAATAGTTGCCACAGTTAAACTGATGTATATCGCCCAAAGAGAGTAAGCCTACAAATGTAAGTATTTAAGATTTTTCATAACTGCATTAAATTGCCGCACATCCTGCCAAATTTGTAACAGGCCAGCTCAATCTCAAGGGCACCTTTCTAGCAAAAGAGGAAAGCACTGTAAATTCTTCATCACTCGTATGATAATGAAATCGACCCAGGGCTGCATGTGCTGAAACCTGAGTTGCGCAGTGTTGCTGGAAGGATGTGCTTTCTTGATTCTAGGTTTGCTTTCCTCAAAAGTTCTACTCTGGTGAAGTTTCGCTAAGTGAACAATAGCTAGAACCTCCTAGAGTTGTTTTATCTTACAATAGATCTAAGAAATAGGCTGTTTTGAAAAGCTGACCACCGTTCTCGTGGTCTGTGTAGTTTCTTTTTATATGTTGGGTTTACATAAATCGCCATATATACAAACTAGGTTTTTAAATGTCTTCTCCGGTTCCGAGCTGCTGCCTGTGCCGATGTTTTCGAGGCTCACAGCAGAGCTCTCACGGTCTGCCTCCCCGCCTCCAGTGCGTGCCTGGTGCCGTGCCCTTAAATGGACATGATCTTGGCTTCTTCCAAAGAAAGATAAAATCCTTCTCTTTAGCAAATCTATTATTGGAATAATCAACTAAAACTAAATGAAAATAGTATTTCAGCCAGGACCCGCTGTAAACATTACTAAGGGAAATGTTAATGTTAGGGATTTTTTGACACTTTGCTGAGCACTTTGCAGCCACTTTATTTTGATTCTTAGCTAATAACAAATCTCTCACCAGTTGTCAGTGATGACTGGAAGCCAAAATGCCTACAGTGGCCTGCAGTGACTTGTCAGAGGTGACGCAGCTGCGTTAGAGAGGACGCACTGCAGTTCAGATCTCCATGTGTGCACAGCTGTAATGCACATAGGTGGGTGTGTTAGAGAGCCGTGCGGGCGTAGCCGTCCTAGAGCGGCAGGGGTCAGCTAAGACGCCCTGAAGATGGAGATGGAAGGGTTGCTCCACACCACAGCTGGTTCTGGACGGTCTGTGCTCAGTTTATGGGTTCCATAGTTAGTATATGCTGTTCCATATTCATTTGAAAGGGAAGCTTAGCAAAGGGATCATTGTAGTGCACTGTGCTCATTCTAAGAAAATAGCTCTGGCACCACTGAGCTGGAGACGCAGGAGCCATGGTAGACTGCATGCAGTGTGTCTCATGAGCTCGTGTTGCAAGCTCACTTAAAAAGCAAGCGTGCACACGCCACCCACCTTTATGAGCTGTGTCGTGGTGTTGCAGGAGCTGGAGCTGCTGTGTGCGGCCGTCACCGCCCGCACGGGGTGTAATTAGAGTGGCCTGGAGGTGTTGTTAGTGAATGGATTAGTAAAGAAGCACATAGATTCCTGTATCTTAGCTTTGGTTTTTAAAATTAATTTCAATGTAGTCTTTCCTTTCTTATATATTTTATTTATTTTTAAACATTTTGGGGGGCCTTCCTATTAGCTCAGAAGCTAGTGATTTAAGTGAGTGCTTAAAGCAATCAGGATTCTGTGGTTTGATCCCCAGATCCTCAAGCCTTACCAGATCTGCCCTGAAGGAATCCTGAGCCAGCTCAAAAAAAAAAAAAAAAAAAAAAAGCATTTTTGTTTTAGAATGGTTATAGAATTGTCACAAAGTAGTACAGTGGCCCTGCATGTCCCACCACCCGCTTCTCCTGTTCCTGCTGCTCTGCATTGGTGTGGTCCACCTGCTCCAGTGACTGCACCAGTGTTGTGCATTTTATCTCAACTTCCTTCCTCCCTCCAGGCCCTGTTCCTCTGACAGGATCCTGTCCAGGACACCGTGTTCAGCCCCCTAGTTGTCACAGCACCTCGGATTGTCCTGTTTGCTGACAGATGCTTCTGAAGAGTGCTGGCAGGTGTTTCTCGATGCAGGCCAGAGAGCTTCGAGGCTGCTCCCAGGTGGCACCTGCGCAGGCAGCACAGCCCCCCAGTGGGCCCTGGCCTCTCACCCGGCCTGGCTGCAGAGCTCCCTGGGCTTCTCCAGTGTCCGCTTCCCCGTTTCTGTCTCCTTTCTGTGCTGGGCCCTTTGGAAGTACAGGGAAGGGAAACCTTTTCCTTGCCTATTGTGGATTCACGGCTGAGGTCTCTGTGACAAAACAAACCAAAACAGATTAACAACAGTGACAAAACTAGAGTAATGAGAAAAGCGTACACATTTGTTTTTATATGATGTGAGCGCCTTTGTCAGGACCTACAGAGACAGACACTGTGTCTCTGAGGGTCTGTGAAAGGTGGAGAGTCGGGAGCTCTGTGCAGAGGGTGGGTACGGCACCTGGCGCTCGCCGCGGTGTGGCTGGCAGTGCGTGTCTCTCGGTGCCTTGGCCTTTGTAGACAAGGAAGGGCAGGGTGAGGTCAAGGGTGACGCTACCGTGCTGAGCTCCGAGAGATGAGTGAGAGGAGGCACGGGTGCTCCGCTGCCTGCTGTCTTTCCAAAGGCAGGGTGCGTGTTGGGGTGGTGCACCTGCACCCCATCCCAGGGGTCCTTGTGCGAACGCCACACTGAGGCTCCGTGGCCTTGTGAGTGCAGTAGCTGCACAAATGATTTGCAGCCCTTTCTGTTGCATATCTATGAAAATGTCACGAGAGCAGATCCGTAGCTCTCAGTAGTGTGCCGAGAAGACCCATGGCACAGAACAGGAGAGAATTCTCAAGGATGTTTCCATAGCTATGTGGGACGGCGCTTTTGGAAAGAGGACTCGAGAGCTTCCCGCGGGCTGAATTCCAGAACTTCTAGCGTGGTGTTTCAGGCCCTGTCTCCGTTGTTTTGTCCGTGGGCACGTTCCTGTGTGTGCTGTGCTCTGCCGTGTACAGCTTGTGCCACCCTCTGAGCAGGCTCCTGTGCGCGTTTAGGCCTCAGTTCTTTTTGCAGAAGCGCTCTTCCTCGCAGCCTGTGTCCCATCAAAGTGCTGCTTCCGTCTGTCTCTTCTGTGGCAGCTTCTGTGCCTCACACCAGTGTCCCCCACCCCCGTTTCGCTCTCTGTGATTTGTGCGTGTGTCTGCCTGCCCAAACCCAGGCGCGTGGAGGCCACTTCAGTAGCCTGTTTGTAGTGCTGCTGGCTCTTCCCAGTGTAATTATGTCCAACGGACTGACCCACAGTGACCCTTAAATGCTCATCGAAGCTTTAATAAGGTGGACACAGCGGAGGGCTGTCGCGTGGTTCGTGTTATCCTGCAGAATCATTGGGGGCAGTTCAGAAATCCTCCTCCATTGAGGAGGAGAAGGGTGTGAATGGTTAGGATAGTAGGACAGGGATAAAATATGTAGGAGAGTCTCTTTCTTTCTTGTTATTTTAAACTGTAAATGTATTCATGGGGCCAAAATACATTTCTGTATTCTGAATTCTTAGACATGGGGCAGAATAAAATTTTGTATTCTGTATTCTTAGACTGATGAGCTATCTCGGCAGTCTACACGCCTGCCTGGGAAGTGCAAGGACCAGAGTTCAATCCCGAGTATTGCATGTGTACTGGCCACTGAAACTGGGCGTGGTGGTGCATGCCTGTAATCCCAGTGCTGGGGAGGCTGAGACAGAAGGATCACTACAAGTCTGAACTGCGTAGGGAGACGCCGCATCAAATCAGTCAGTCCTAAAAATGTAAACGTATTCAAAGGGTAAGAGTCAGTGGATGTCATACTGTAAGTCCTTGCTTTTTGAATTGAGCCTTTTGAAAACTTATTTTCTTTCCTCATTTGACTCATAATACTGTAGTCCTTAGTGCTTTTATAAACTCTTAACATTGGTGTATATGCATAGCCTCCTTTTACTCATATAGTTATTTTAATTGTAATATTTTTTGGTGTTTTAGGAGCAAGTACCCATGAAGCCACCATCTTAAGAAAAGGCAGTTTGTTCACAGTATCGAGGGTCCTAGCCACAGCTTTTGTCACATTCCCCAGGTCTTCTCAATCAAAGAAGTGTTCATTTTGAATCCTTGGTTTATGTCTTTGCTTTTGTTTTGATATAGCTTGAGACTTGGAACTCGGGACATTGCACGTGCCAGGCAGGTGCTTATGCTGCTGAGCTGTCTCCCTGGCCTGCTTGGCACATTTCTATGTGTGCCCTGAAGATGTTTTTGAGTCTGTCACTCAAGTGTGTCATGATGTCTTTCACCTCAAGCATTTAAACTCCATCTTGAAATGGTGTCAGATGAGTAAAGGATTCAAAGAAACATTGGAGCAAGGGGGTCATGTAAGTGGTAGCTGAAGCATCTAATGTTACACAGGTATGTAAAACAGTAAAGTGCAAGGTTTGGATGAGTATTTTATTTTATTTACTTATTTTTTTTGGTGGAACTGGGGATTGAACTCAGGCCCTTGTGCTCGCCAGAGAAGCACTTATT